AACCATCCCAAGGAACTGCCGTAGATCTCTCCTAGTGACAGGTGGAGGAAAATCAGCAACAACAGCAACCTTGGCATCTTCAGGACACACCTTCCCTCAACCAACTTGCTGACCAAGATATGTAATGGTACCTTAAGTCACACTTGGCAAGGTTGAGGGTCAGAGGTCCATTAGCCAACCGTTTAAAGACTTCTCTCAATGTAGCTACGTGATTAGCCCAGTCATCACAATATACCACAATGTCATCTAAATGTGCTCTGCATTTTGGAACATCTCCCAGTGCTTTTTCTACTAACCTCTGAAATGTAGCAGGAGCATTGCACATACCAAAGGGCATGACCGTGTATTGGAGGAAGCTGTGAGGTGTTACAAATGCTGAAACATCAGAAACACGTTGACTTTACGGAACTTGCCCTTTTAGCATATCCAGCTTACTAACATACTTTGCTGGACCAATCTCATCAATGCAGTCATCCATCGAGGGCAATGGATATGCATCTGGGACAGTTACAGAGTTTACCTTGTAGTAGTCAGTGCAGAACCTTGGACTTCCGTCAGACTTTGTGTCCAGGAGACAAGGTGAACTTCATGGACAAGCACTTTGCACAGCAAACCCATTTTTCAAGAGATAGTCAGCGTCCTTCTTCATGATTTCCCTCTTTGCTGGACTGGCTTGATAAGCACGCTGCTTAATTGGTCTAGATTTAGTCAAAACAATATCATGAGTAATAACAGAGGTCTGAGATGGAATGTCTTTTAATAGCCTGGGGAAGTCATTTACAAGTTTTACAATGTCCTCGCACTAGTCATCAGAAAGATGAGACAAGGACTGGGGAAGAGATAACACTTCTGAGTTACTCAACCTTACTCCTTGTGGTGCAGCACTATGCATCACCAACTCTTCATCGGGAATGCTCACCACTGAGATGGAAGCCATAGGAGAGGAATCTATCTTCACCTCATGGGCTGTGGGTAACCCAGTTTCATCCTCTCTGGAACGGTATGACTTCATCATGTTGACATGACACACCCTGTGTGGTCCAGGGTCTTAATTACGTAGTTTACGTCATGGAGTGTCTTCTCTACAACATAAGGACTAGAAAATTTAGTGCAGAGTGCTGAACTGGGTGTAGGCAAGAGAATCAGAACTTTGTCACCTGGCTGGAACAAGTGGGTGACTGTTTTCTGGTCATAGCGATGCTTCATTTTCACCTGTGAAGAGGTCAGGGCATCTCGAGCCAAGGAACAAGCTAGTTGGAGACGATCCTTGAGTTTTGCAACATACTCTGGAATACTTTTCACCTTTTTGTCAGGCTCAACAAGTTGTTCTTTGAGAACTTTCAATGGACCCCGTACCTCATGTCCGAACACAAGCTCTGCAGGACGAAAACCCAATGATTCCTGGACAGCCTCACTGGTGGCAAACAGAAGGGAATGCTTTCATTCCAATCCCTTTGTGATTCAAAGCAGTGTTTGTGCAACATGGATTTCCTGGTATGGTGAAACCTTTCCAGTGACCTGGCTTTTAGGAGGATAAGGGCTAGACGTCTCATGTTTAATACCCAGTGTTTTGAGCACCTGGGTAAACATGTTCATCATCAATGTAAACTCCTAAATGCACTTCAAGTTTTACCCTCCATTTAGGAGACACAGCTATTTTGAAGAAAGAACTACAACTTCCAGTAGCCATACAATATAACGTGATTGGACACGCCATGAAATATATAGTTCTTCTTGGGGTTTACAACTAGGGTTGTGTTTTTGTATTAATAAACTAAAATAAACGGATTGAAGTACTGACAAATGTGCTACTGTTAAAATATAATACGTGTAGTATGAAATAAGGGTAACAGATTACGTCGTATTGTGGTATTTTTTGTGTTTTTATTACACTGGCAGTGTTTGGGGGAAATTTGCGCTCGTTGCTAAGGCAACCCTGCTAGAGTCGCCGCACAGCCTCGTCGTAGACCCGGAAGAGATCCATCCTACAGGGTCTGTACTGTTTTTGTGTATACAGTAGGTGGCAGTAATGCACATCAATGTTGGATGCCAACCGCCAAATCAATAGAAGAAGAAGCAGCAGCCACAGCAGCAGCTAGGCTAGACTAGTAGCTAATGTAGCCAGCAAGCTCAACGAGCTAGTTAAAAGCTTCACAAAGCTACAGATACATTCCTCACCGCTGCCGTTTCAGTTACCATAGTCAGATTATCCATCGCTGCCATCACAATACATCTTCCAGTCGCCGTTTTCCTTCATGTGTCCTTCTTTTCAGAGTTGTATTCATTTACAGAGAAATGAAAGTGATGACGAGCATGTAGCCCAAACACAGTAAAAGCACTTATATTTTATCACAAATGAATGATAATAGCAATGAACGATATCGTTGGGATCACTTTCAGAGCGATCTCAGAAAATTTTCTCTGTGCCTGGATATATTTCTTGTCTTTTCTATTTGAATGAATATGGAGTTTATACGCAGCGCCAATGTTTACAAAATGTTAATGTTGGTCAGTGTGGGCGCACACATCTGTATAGTGATCTCTATAGTTATTAGTGTGGATGGGCCATAACAGTAAAATTGGTTAATGCTGACTGTTGGAAGAAAAGAACAACAAAACGTTACAGTATATGCGCTGTCTAATAGGGAAAAACGTGTCCCAGACATGAAAGATAATTCCAATTGAAATATATTGGTTTGAAATTCATGCTGGGGGAACACGACAAAGTTGGGCAAATCGTGTCCCAGGACACGAAACAATAGATTAAATGTCACGACTATTTCACAAATTGCCGTGAGACTGGGTTGAATAACTCTAGTGTGTCTAACAAAAAATTCCTGCATGCTGCATAATGTGGGGTACCCAACTTACCGAGCATCCCAACCTCAACACCACAGAAACGTACATCCACGTTTACAGCAAACAAACACAAGTCTCACATACAAAGCAACATGTTGTCACGATGGCAGCTCTCCTGATCTGACAATGGGTCGGGTTTTAAGCTGCAACACACCGCATCTGTTTAGCAAACTCAACAGGTGGAAATCAGCTTTCCAGGTGGATACCAATTAGATCAGTAGCACCTGACAATGAGACAGAAAGGAGGGGGAAGGAGAGGCAGAACATACACACTCACACACAACAAGCCCTCTGGCACGTAACACCACTATCAACATGAAGGACAGTAAATGACCTAGACACACACAGTACATGTATGCCTTCACACTCACAACCACAAAGACACAAACGCATGCACACACATTACTGATTAAGTAGTAAAATAAAGTGAGGGAAGTCAGTTTTAACTGTGCAATTTGCTCAGCTCCATTTATACCAAATTGTCAAACAATAACTGAGTTTTCATTGTCAGATTGATAAATCAAGTAATCTTTTTGTCAGACAGAATCATTTAATTTTGTATTTCCTTTGCTTTGTTGAATTTATTGAGTATGTTTGGTTTATTTTTTAGTTAACTTCTACTAGAATAAAGTCCTTCCCTAACTTGCGAATAAATTCTGTTAGTTAATTAACGGTAACTGAAGAGGAACAGCAACCCACTAATTCTAATATGCTGCTGTTGTTATCAGAAAAGCAGAGCTGAACCAGCACCAAAAGCAGATTGCCAATCTGGAGGAGCAGAGAGCCAGAGAGGCTCAGGAAAGACAGGAGGAGCTCAGCAAAAATCGCCACAATTCTTTCCAGCACAGACTACAGCTGGACAAGCTCAAACGGTGAGTCAAGTTTAAAAAAAGTGAGAATAGAAAATAGGGGGAAAAGATTATAGACACGATCAGTACATGCAGATTTAAAAACTGTAACACTGTCTGTGACGTTATGCAGTGGTGACATGGTTGTGCCAGTATTATAGTAGTAATATATGACACGCATATGAAGACAGAACATATTAAAAAAAAACATTCACTTAACTAAGTAAAAAAAAAAGTAATTAACCACTAATTAAACCACAAATAGAAAAAAAAAAACATTAAAAAATTGACCTTATCAGATATTAGGCAATACAAATGTTAAACTAGTTGAGATACTGTGCTCATTGATGATCAGTAAACCTTGTAGAGTGCAGAGGTAGGGTAGAACATTTCCAGGATGATTATCCAGATCAACAGTAAAGCCAAATACACCTACAGAGGAGTGAAATACTGAAAATTGCTAATAAAGCGCAGACATCAATTTGAATATTTAACTTCCCTAAATAGTTATGGAACTGGAAAATTATCAAAACCTTCTGATCTTCAAGAAAGGTAAGAACATTTGTAAAAGGGTTGCTGGGTCAGCAGAGCAGCAGACACACTGCCTGATGAACATTACACAGTAAACTGTTTGTGGCAGTTTGAGCTGACTGAAACTCAGGCATGAACAGGACAAGAGTCATTTATTCTGTTTAAGTCACCAGACAGATTTCCTTTTTTAGAGGCTTTTACCAGCTCAGAGAAAGACTAGATTGCTTTGTTGTTGCTTTGACTTTGGAAGGTTGGTAAACCCTGAAATACAGTGCAGCAATGAAGTATTCAATCTCCAATCTGTCATTGAGATCTGTCTGAAAATCGGAAATTACTGAGGGTGGGTTAGGTTAAAGTAAATGTTCCCTATTTCCTGTATGTGTGCAGCTCTATGAATGCTGAAATTCAAAACCAAATTAAGGAGTTTGACCAGATGAAATTGGATTCACAGCGCAGAATAAGAGATGTGGAAGAACAACTGGTCCGACAGAGACAGGTAAACATGCACATACATCCTTCTGTAGGTAGACAATCCATAAAGAATATATACATACAAAACACACTGGGCCATTGAACCAACACTGAAAAGTATTATGGTGCATGTGACAACCCCTCACAGTTGGCTCAGTACAGTAGGGAACTATCCAGTTGCATGACTGGTATAACTAGTAGAGCTGTCAGACCTTCAGGGTGACCACAGACACAAGACTCACTTTCTGTTGTCTGGTACATTGGCTTTGTTATCATGGCTAAAGTACATGTCCAAGAATGTGCATGTCTGTGTCCCAACATCAGGAAAGATGAGTGAGATTCATTATCATTCTCTCCTTACTTTGTTAAAAAGTACACAAACAGCTGTATTGACATCTTAACATCACATCTGTGTGTGCTTCAGTGCATTGGCACAGTAAAATACAAAGTGGAGGTTAGCAGTGGCTGAAATGTGCTTACTGATGTTGCGCTTGGTTACAGAAACTACAATATCCAGCAATAGATTGCAATAGTTGTAGTAATTCACATCTAATTATTTTCCTTGATAAAACAGGAGATGACTGCTACTTTTGACAGTGAGCTGAAACAGCAGGAACATGAGTTCAACGTGAAAATGGATGAGATGCGCGCTGTGGTGTTGTCTCATGAGATCAAGGTGAGGAGAGTGTGTTTCACTTTAGTAATAAGTCTATTCATGCTGTCCACAAATACCAGATTTGTGATGTTTGCAGCATACTGTACTATAATTATATTTCATGGTAGCATTCCAAATCTAAATAATTTAGATAAGATAGCAAATTGTATGATTTTCTTGTCATCATCATGTACTGCTGCATGTGTGTGTCCTTGTCCAGGTTAAGCTGCTGTCTAAAGAGACTGAAGTTCACTACCAGGCTCACCTGCAGGCCACAGAGGCTCTCGAGACATCCAAGAACCTCTGTCAGCAGATAAAGACCCAACTACAACACAAAGACCAGGAGTTCAAAGACACCGTTGCTATAAAGGACAAGCGGTATGTTCCTGTAACGTGTAAGTGTGTTTACGTGTTTTCATATGTGTGCGGAGCTTATGCAAAAGTGTTATAACAAGTAGAAATTACCCTCTGTCTCAGGATAAAGGAGCTTGAGGAAAAGCTGAAAAGGATGGAGACCAACATGAAGAAGGAGAAAGATGAACACAGTAAGAAGTAAGTCAATAAATACAAGCTCCTCTCACTCATGTACTCAGAACCAGTTGCTGGCGCTGGCAGATACTTTATGAGTATGACGAGAGAGAAAATGAAACAAATTTTCAGATTTGGTAATAATAGTGAAACATGAGACTGATTGCCACCAATAGTGTCATTATCCTAAACAGTGTCAGAAAGTTATTTTCTATAGATAAACACCTCTAGCCATGAGCAGCATGCATAGTAAACAGAGTGCAGCTGTTTCCATATATTGGGATTTTATTTAAACAATAAAGATAATAAAATGAAAACATCAATAAACAAGCATAATATGAACAATTACAATTAACACAAATACAGTTAACAACAAAAATAATTTAATAAATAACCCTGCAGCTGTACTACTGGTAAGAACAGTTTATTGTTCCATTCATCATTCTGTATGTTATTATACTCCAGGAAATTGTAAGAATAAATAAATAAAAGAGGACCACTGGGCCATGTACCTGGACGCTGCTTTCAGGACTGGAGATTTTTGCAAAAACAACCTTACAAAACTTTTGTTGGACTTCAGTCAGCATATTCCACATATAATCAATAAGCAGAATCTGGACCACTGTTATTCTCAACTCATATATAAGGCCCAATCTCTCCCACCATTCAACATGCACAAAGCCATCTTTGGTGCACTGGACAATGAAGAAAGGGTTGGTAATGAATGATGTAAGACGTTATCATGTTGTCCTGTACATAAAAGCCAAATTGTCTGTGTATGAAAGGCCTTTCTAGTACCTCAAAATTTCTCATAATCTTTAACCATATGGCTGTTTCTTTCAAGATATGAGGATATGGTCTTGTCCCTGGAAAAACGTAATGCTCAGCTGGAGCTTCAGCATCAGGCCAACCTAAAGCAGCTGCGGAAGACTGAGAAACAGATCATCAAGCTACAGAAAAATATAGACGTTCTGGCAGCACAGGCACGATGCGTACAGGAAGATCAGCAGAAGGCCATGGAACAGAAAGATGAAACAATCCAGAGGTGAGATAGACACAGGTGAAACAAGGATGAAAATGAAAATCATGACACACATGTCAAAGCGTACTTGGAAAGGACACCAAGTAGCTCTTGGCATGACAGTTGTGCTGCCATTGGTGTGTGTGTGTGTGTGTGTGTGTGTGTGTGTGTTTTTTTTTAAAGGCTTCACATGGAGGTAGAAGCCACCCGGACTGACTGGGACCACTACATCAAACAGGTCTCCACTGAGATGGTTGTAAAAGAGACAGAAATTATCACCATGCAGGAGAGAGAAACAAAACTCAGAGCTGAGCTGGAGAAAAACAGGGAACAAATTGAGAGGTGAGAAGCCAAAAGGAAAATGGAGGCAAGCAGGGAGAAATGTAAAGAAAGAAATTGAAAGGAATAGATAAATTAGGCACAGCACAATTACATAGCTTTGACAAAATGAAGATTATGACCTGGTCTGAGTTGTTCTTATGATCTGTTAAATTTCTATGTGTTTGTTTTAAGGTACAAGCAGGAACTGAGTGCTGGTTTGAAGAGAGAGAGGGCCTTGGAACAGACTAGAGTCCAAGTGGAGCTTGATTGTCAGAGACGCTATGAGGACATCAAGGCTGAACACTACCTTTCCAATGAGCATTTAATACAAGACCTGACTGACGCTAGAGACCAGGTTAGTCTCTCATACATGACACAAACCCACACAGGAAATTTGGTGTAGACTTCAGCCACAGCGAATGCAAATACAGATTGCCTCTAATTTTCACTTCTGCAGTGATGCACAAAAGGTTTGAGAACCACAGCTGCTCAGACTTACTCAGACGTTTTTTTTTTTATACTGACTTTGCTCTCCCTATTAAATACGATGTAAACAACAGAAGTTAAATGTAACACACGATTTACAACAGTGGTGGCACATCTTGTAAATACTACTACACCAACACAGCTGGATTTCCCAAATTAAATGAAAAAAGTTACAATTCTCAATGAATGTAAAGAGTGCAGCCATACTGATTGTTTAGTTTATTTGAATCTGACATTCTGTTGTAATATCATGAAATATATCTTCATAGAGTAAGTTACTGTACATTGATAGAGATGTTTGTATATTGCTAAACTTAAACTATTATCTACTTACGTGTTGCTGTTGCACTCTAAGGCTGTTCCAATTTCAAATGTGTGCAAAACATTTCCCAGACCAGTGTACTTGTTACTGCACACCATGGTGTTATTTATAGTGTCACTATTTGCAGTGCCATTGTTACCAGGATGCTTTAAAGTATGTTGCACTCTCAAATTAAAAAAAAAAAAAAAATTTACAAAAAAGAGTTGGAAATCCAAAAAGAACTGCATTTTATTGATTGATTGATCGATTGATTGTCAGAAATTATCAATCAATCAATCAGTCAATCAAATTTTGTTTATATAGCACTTTTCATGTAAAACAACAAAGCATTTAAAAACATGACATAATTTAAAAACATTACAACATTTAAAAAATAAAATAAACCCGTCCCTCCCACCCTCCATGCATACACATACAGCAAATGCAATTGCGCACACACGTACACACACGTACACACCCTCACCACTAGACTAAAAGAGGCGTGGCATGGCACTGAGGGATTGTGGGAAACGCTACCATTGGGGTCGTCCACACCGGGAGGAGTTGCAGACCATGAACACTGGGGGCGCCGGCACCCGGACCCCCGACCCGGCAGACAGGGGGATCCCCACAACGAGGTGGGGAGCCCCCCAATCAGCCGGGCCAAAGGGACCCGCAGACAGAACCCCCAGCAGCAGACCACACACAGCCCCCAGTGTGGAGGACACCCCTAAGGAAACACTGGAAATAAAACGAAAAACTTTAAGAATAAAAAGCCCTATGTAAGATAAAGGGAAAGTTAAAAGAGTAAAATACATAAGACAAAGATAAATAAATGACAAGAATGTAAAAAGAATTAAAAGTTAAATTAAAAACCTGATTAGAAAGCTGTAGGAAATTCGCTGCCATCCATGACTTGATATCTAAAATGCATTTAAAAAGGGTATCTATTGGCCCTGTGTCATCAGGAGACACGGCAACGTACAGCTGTGTGTCATCAGCGTAGCCATGGAAACTGATGCCATGTCTCCTGATGACGTCCCCAAGAGGAAGCATGTAAAGATTAAAAAGAAGAATGGGGCCTAAAATTGAACCTTGGGGAACCCCACACCTGATTTTATGGGTCCCTGAGGAACATGTATCCATATTTACATAAATACATCGGTCTGTGAGCTGAACCAGTTAAAAACAGTACCAGAGAGGCCGACCAGGTGCTTAAGTGTATTTAATAAAATGTGATGGTCTATTGTATCAAAAGCAGCGCTTAGATCCAGTAGAACCAACACTGTTAAGTTTTTGTTATCAAAATTCCACCTGATGTCGTTTAAAATCTTTAAAAGTGCTGTCTCGGTACTGTGGTTCATCCTAAAACCAGACTGATGTCTTTCTAAAATGTTTTTTTCTGATTAAAAAGTCATTGACTTGGTTAAAAAACAGTTTTTCTAAAATTTTACTTAATAAAGGTAAGTTGGATATGGGTCGGTAGTTATTAAAAACAGTGGGATCCAAATTGCTCTTCTTCAGAAGGGGCTTCACCACCGCCGTTTTAAAGGCGGTGGGGAAGACGCCCGTCTGAAGAGAGCAATTCATGATGTTTAAAATCTGTTCCTCAAAAAATCCATAAAAAGATTTTAAAAGGGGTGTGGGAATTGGGTCTAAAAGGCAGGTTGTTGGGTTTACTTGGGAGAAAACTTGACTAAGTGTCCTTGAAATTATTGCACTTTCAGGAAAATCAGTGGCACAGATTTTACATTACTACTATTAATATGATTCAGGACTCACAAATTCAGCCTAAGATTAGATCGTCTGATACTAAAAGAAGTCCCCAAGAACCCCAGAATTTCCCCTAGGGATCTGCGAGCAACTCTTGCAAATATTGCTATCAAAGTGCCTGCATCTTAAATCAGAAAAAGATTATACAAGAAAACAAATAGAGGCTTGCAAGGAAATTCAATTCAATTCAATTCAAAGGGCTTTATTGTCATTTCAACCACATACAGCTGTACAGTACACAGTGAAATGAGACAGCGTTTCCCAGATCCAGAGCTAAAGTGCTAGTGCAAAGAATGCAGTGCAAAAAGATAAGATAAAATAAGACAAAAAATAGAAGAAAATAAAAGTAGAAATAGAAATGTGGACAGTCGTGCAATATAAAAAACAGGTTGTGCAAACATGTACAATTTGAACACCCCAAACAAAACAATGCAACACAACACGGACAATAACAACACAATGGAGGTAGTGTGTGTGTGTGTGTGTGTGTGTGTGTGTGTGTGTCTTAGTCCAGTCCTTGAATGACCTGTTCAATGCCAAGATAGTAATCCAACTGAAATGTTGTGGAGGGTTATGAAAAGGGAAATATACAAAACAAGCCCACAAGCAGATGAAAAGACTCGTGGACAATAATGTGACACCTACATGAGTTTATTTCTGTTTAATAAGAGTTCAACAACAAAAAAAAACCTCACATTTTTTTCCGTGTGGTTGTGTGCAAGTGTGCCACCATATTTAGAAGGATCAAATGTTTGCTTGTAAAAAATATTGCAATGTTTTTTTTATAGTGCATGCTGCCACTTGTTTGGGCAATGAGTGTGTTAATCTTTGTCAGTGTTCTTAGACCTTTGTTTCTATCCCTGTTTAAGAGAGTTGATATTGTTGTCAGTAAAGACTTAATCTGTTTTTAATCTCTGTCAGGCTAAAGCAGAGCTGAAGGAGAAAGAACAAGAACTGCAGGGTTTGACTGCCTTACTGCATTCTGTTAGAACGGAGAGAGATCATGCAATACAGGTGAGAATCCATCTAACTTACACTGTGCAGAATAATAGAACCATTAGAAGGTGTTACCCTACCAATAACAGCAAAGCAAACAATGTAAACAGTTTTTTAGTAGGACTTTAAGCAAACTCTGGTACAACTGTCCAACAGGCAGGCATGGATTTCTTGTTTTTACACCTGTACAGGTACACACACAGAATTAGGAGGACTTGGGTCTTTAGTTTGATAGACCATCATAAAAGACCTAAGAAAATATCAGATGAAAAATATCGTCAACCGCAAAAGCTTAAGTACTTAAAACCTGTGAGTCTCTGAACTGTACCTTCATTTAGTCAGTGAAAAAATATCTGGAAAAAACAGCACAAGTTCAAACAGAGAAGAGAAGTAAAACAGTCAGAACAATATGCCACAACCTGAGGGACAATGGACCTGGACACACACAGCACATTCATGTGTGTGTGAGACACATACATATGATACACTGTACATACATATATTTAAAATGTATCAAGCTTCATGCTGTATGTCACTGTAGTTGTGTACTGTCTAAATATTTGGACTAATTGTATTGTGATGCTTTGGCAACATTGTTTCTTAAAACTTTCTTCCCAATAAAGCACCTTTGAATAGAATTGAATACAAAAACATGGTGGGTGAATAAGTAACCAAGTTGTAAGTCCATTTTGAAGATGATATAAAAATGCCGAATGGACAGATGAAATGAGTGTTAGCCTCAGAAGTTGTAAATCAAATCAAGGGCACAACTTATTTTTGAATTACCTTTTAAAGTTATCACTTATGAGAGCACCAGGGCTTAAGCAAGTAGGTCGAGGGTTTGTTGAATATTTGCTTGAGGTTAAAACTAAGTATGTGTTGGATGATTTTTTTTTTATATATATACAAATTTTTAAGACTCAGGAAATAGTAAATAATCAAATCAGTAGTTTTAGACTGAGTGGCCAGAGGATGCATGATATGTTGTGACTCGGCTTGCCTGGTTTGTGCCAGCGATGATCAGGCAGCGTTGTCAGAACATATAACCGAAATAACGATCCTTAGCTAGGTACTTCAGATCCCAAAAAAGTCCTACGAGAAGGAAAAAAAAATTGTCGTCAGAGTCTGATGTGAATAATGTTTATTCGAAACAGAGGCTGCACGGACAAACATGAACAAAATCTCGAGATTAGGCAGGCTAACAATGCATTATACTTGCGAACTTCGTCCAACTCCCTTCCTACTATGGAAAAACCCCAACCTGATTTCTTTGATACCTATCAGAGAGCCCGAAGTCAGCTTTATTTCCTGCTTAGCACAGCGTAATTTAAGACTCTGCGGGGTTCCTGCTTGTACCCCCCAGTGGTGGGCTTCTTATGATTTTCTGGATGTCATCTTTACTGGGTCATTTCCAGGCCATAGTGTCCTTAACTGAACTCGCAGCGTGGAGGAGAGCGCATGCGTGTCCATCCTGCTATATCCCACCCTGCCAGCAGGTCTTAGCCTTTAGTAGATATTCATATCCTTTGTTTTTGTTTTCACATGATATTATTTACCCACATTATTTCTTTATGCTCATCTTTTACACATTACATTTTAGTCTTATTTCCACATTTACTCAACCTTCCCAATCATATCTTTAAGTTTGTCTTTTATGTAACGATAAAAATCTGTTTTATCTTTTGTTCAATTCTAAAAATCCCACAACAAACGATTCAGTGTGGCACAAGCAGTTCCCTCTGTCCAAAAAGGTGGGTTTGCAGTGGAGACCAAGGGTTCCATTTCCTCATATTTTGCAGTGGTATGAGTTCATAGATTACTGGCACACATTATAAATTAAATGAATATTTGTCCACATTCCTTCATGGTGATAGTTTGGAGAGGGTGATTGAGGAAGCAGAGGGGACTGGTCATCCTGTCTGGCTTCATACGGTCTTGGTTCCACCAATGTGGGGTTCTTCCAGCTATTCACATGTATTGTGGAGAGTATAAAAGGCAGCTAGTTGCTTTCCGTGAGGGGTTTTGGTTGTTGCTGTGTCTCATAGAATGTTGTCTGAGCAATAAATGTCGCCATTTGCTCTTGGAACTTTACCTGAATCTCATTCCTATCTGTCAAACTAAAAGGGTTTTACAAAACCACTGTCTCTGTTAGGGCTGCAGGGTGGCGCAGTTGGTAGCACTGTTGCCTCGCAGCAAGAAGGTTACCGGTTCACGTACCGGAATCTTTCTGCGTGGAGTTTGCATGTTCTCCCCATGCAGTGTGGGTTCTCTCCGGGTTCTCCGGCTTCCTCCCACACAGTCCAAAAACATGTTGAGCTTAATTGGTGATTCTAAATTGTCCATAGGTGTGAATGTTAGTGTGCTTGGTTGTCTGTCTTTAAGTGTAACCCTGTCCAGGGTGTCCCCTGCCTTCGCCCTAAGTCAGCTGGGATAGGCTCCAGCCCCCCCGTGATTAAGCGGTGTACAGCTAATGGATGGATGGACTGTCTCTGTTAAGACTGTTTGCTCTCTGAACTGCAGGGACTTTTGCTTGTGATTCCCAAACAAATCCTGCAATTCTGTGTTGGCAAGCAGAGAGGATTATGGAGGTGTAGTTAGCAACAGAGCATGATGACTAAGACTTTTGTGGCGGTTAAGGGCTAAAAGGTCTTCTACTTCCCTAAAAAGTTGTTTTATGAATACTAGCATCTTTACCTTTCAATATCACACTTGTCTAAGCTACATTAGTGGTACAGTCTAGGCATGATGTCATAGAGTCATGCATGTAGATTAACAGGTTCCATTTTCATGATAAAGGTTCTACATGAACATATCATGTTGCAGGTTGCCACTATTTTAACTTAGGGCAAATGCTTTTCATGTTTGACATTTCAAGACCTTTCCTCCTCCACTGTCCTGAAATGTCATGTTTGCGCACTGTGTATCTGTTGCATAGGACAAAATGAGACACAATCTTGCAGCTGTTCCCTGGATGCATTTTCCGTATAACCAGCCTTTCAGGGGCTAATACTGTATGATTAGAAAAACAGAACTTCTGTCTTGTCTTACCATTCATCTCCATTCCACTTCTTTGTCAGTTTGCTTTTCATGATACTCAAATGAAAATGATCCTTCAGCTAGTGCAGATCATCTGTCGTCAAGTATCAGCCTTGGCACAAATCCAACTGTCCAGTTATGCACTATTTTTACCCTGACTCCATAAACTTGGCAGTGTGAAGTAAATGTTGTAACTCTTGAGGAATCATTGCTTTGAGTTAATTGAAGAATATCTTATTCACAATGTATTATAAGGAGGTCTGGATCACACTTGATGAAGATGTGGATAACAATTATTTGTGCTTCATATATGCAAAAACAGTCACATTTAAGGGCAACATCTACTTGTGGCTTTGCACAGGATTTAAACCCAGCTCTCTTAAGTGAAGATCAGCTCTCAAAGCCCTTTGGACTTTGTGCTTTGCACATACTTACATACCTTGGGTAAAAAAGCCTGTCATTGGCTGAAGCCTTCCATCACAGGCAAGAAATTCTAAAGCCTTAAAACAGAGTCAAGAGGAGGTGCAGAAGTACAATCTGGTCAAAGCTACTTTTGGAATTTTTGGCCAAAATATACTGCCTGTCCCACCCGTAATTATCCACATAAGGGCTAACTAACCTATTACAGGCTAGCTTCTACAGCGCCTGTACACAAGAGTGTGTTTAGAGCTGTTCAGTTTTTGGCCTTTGCCCTTTTCCTCGAACATCCTGAGAGGTATGATAGACTTTCAGTCCGGCTCGGTGCCTTCCCAACATACCAGCCTGTAAGAGCTCCCCAGACACTTGGAGGGAAAACATACCAGGCCCATGTCACATGCATGTGTCCATGTAAATCTTCTCAGCTGACTGTAAAATCTACCTAAGCTAAATACCTGGAAAGAGGCTCTACATAGCAAGCCGTGGTATATTTGTGCATCATATAAATACAATATGCTGTATGTTATAAATTCATGGGGAATGTTCCAGCATGTGTATGTTGGAAATATACAGTGTTGAATGTGTTGATCAAGCATTACTACGCATGTTATAAGGAGAACAGGACGTAAGTTACATAAATTGACTGAAGTGAAAAGTATCATACAAATGGTCACACATCCAGGCTGCACAGACAACAGGTGCCAAAGCAAAAAAAGATTTGTAATGGGAAAAAAACTATACTTTTTATTAGTCAGATGTGTATCATCATTGGGACTGAGCGATATGTCCCTTTCTCAAACTGTAGTTTCTTTAGCAATAAACATTCTAAGACGATTATCATTTTGCCTATAGTCAACATAAAGAGAGCAAGCAGATCATTCAGCTGGGCAACAGGGTCAGTGAACCAACCACCCCTAGACTCACTTTCACATCAAAATGTCACAGTGACAAGTGACACCTAAAAACATTTCCAGTGCTGAAGCACCTATTGGCTAGAGAGCATCAGTGGGACAAAACTGGCTGGGTAAATTCCATCAATTGCTCTATGTAAATGCTCTCCTCTGCTGACTCGGGATGTTCCACTGTATCCACTGCACTGTACCCTGTTCTGAACAACTGAACTTCATATAGGAAATTAGTAGATCCTGAACCTCCTGTAGCCTGGCATAGATACACATCATCCTGTCATCACCACACACATCATATACTATCGTCTGACATTTATGTTTAGCTCTATTTTGATGTGTGTAGTTGTCAACATAAATCAATGCAGTGACTTAGACTGTCAGTTTTAAGCCTATTGTTAAAGGACTCCTGTTGAAAATCTAATGTTATTTTTAAAATTGTTAACATGTCCAAATGGTATTTTTTAGAAAATAGAACACACAAGATGAGCAGTCAATGCAGTTGCTAAGCATTTCTGCTGTCTGCCAACTTGCTGGGACTTTCATTAGTTCTGTATCATTTAATCAGTGCCTGGAGGAGGACTTTAATGTGAAGCTGACCAAAGTAGTTTACCCTTTCAATTGTGTAAATCCACGTTTGAAGCCATAGATGTAGCTAAATTCTTAAAACCTCATTTTAGTAATGATTTGTTTTCTGGCACCCAGGGGTGTGTAAACGTAGATGCACAATGATGTCATTGTGCTTGACAGGCGATAGACACCCTCGGACAGAATACAAAAAAACTGATTGCAGTTAGCAATGCAAATGCCACAATTGTAATAATTAATTTGATACAGCAGAGAGAAGCCCCTCCCTGCAGAATCAAATTGTCCACTTCTACTTGACCCAGGTAGAACATAAACAATTTTAGTCAATGAAGTCCTGCCAGAGCACAACTCTGGACTCATTAATAAACACTCTGCACGCTTCTACAAAAGTTCCACAACCATGGAGAGTGTTGTGTAAGTTTACACTTTACAAAAGCTTGATCAAAGTTAAGTTCGCACAGATAAACATGAACAAATTCATGTTCACAGTTTTGAACTTTGAAGTTCACTGTCCCACAAAAAGTGGGGATGCTTTGTATTTCTCAGCAGTTTAAACTAACTACTGGTGTGACATTAACAGAGGATTTCTTGCAAGGGAGTGAGTCCCTTACAGAAACTATACACTCCTGTTCACAAATTTGTCATTCTTCTGCTTTTCTTGTCAGGTGTACGCTTGAAAGATGCCTTCCTCAGTGACTATGACAGGTTACAACTAAGAGACCCCTACAATCCTACTTAGGTCATGACTGAAATACACCATCTACTGGTGTAGTGTAGCCTACATGTGAAGCATGTGCCACTAAACAAGTCGGTGTATAAACAAATATTTTAAATGAACAAAATCAAATAAATTGTGCTAAATACATACATAAATAAAAAAGAGTCATTGTATATCTCTAAAACTAATTTAATCTAATCTCTAATTTAATTGGTCTGTCTTATCTCACTGTTACCATTACCTACATCTGTGCCCGCCTCCTAGAAAGATGAAGATGAAAACAAGCATTAAAGAGCCTTGCTGGTTGATTCTAATACCTGCCTATTCATCTATAGCTAATCACAGGTCTGAACCCAGTGTCAACAAGACTGGATCCAACAGGACCAACGTCCCCTGGAATCTATTAAGTGTCATAGATTTTATTTCCTCCTGTTTTTTTTTGTTTTTGTTTTTTTTTTCACAATAACACTGCAGTCAAGTCTTTCTCAAGTTTCCTTGGCCTCCATCTTCCTGACGTTCACATTCTGTAGTTGCCAACAGATACCCAAAGCAAAAATATGAGCATGTTCAAGCATATATAGGTACAACACTGATTGTGGAGCGTCATCATCACTGCCCATCATCTCATGGCATTATTACTCAACATTCTGACCAGTAAGCTTTTAATTTATTCATCCATCCATCCATCCATCCAGCCATCCATCCATCCATCCATTTCTATACACCGCTTTGTCCTCTCTATGGTCGCAGGGGGTCTGGAGTCTTTCCCAGCTGACCCAGGGTGAAGGCAGATGACACCCTGGACAGGTCACCAGTCTATCACAGGGCTACACTTAGAGACAGACAACCAAGCACACTCACATTCATGCTTTTAATTTATAATTTTTTGAAATACATTTTACCAGGTGAAAACAGGTTAAGACCAGCTAACATAAATCCTGTATTGTAACTGAAATCAGAGAAAGAGTGGCTCCAGTGGATCGGTGCATGGCTTTATGTTGTTGAGCTTTGATGTGAGATCTTTTCACCAAGTAGTTTGGTAGGCCTGTTGTATGCACTTCACCCCTGTGCAGTTTGTCAAGGATGATGGAATGATGAGTCTTTCTCCTTTCTCCTATAGCCAAGTGCTGTTTTAGTAGCTTCGAACTGGTGCTGTCTTTGGGCTACTTTGAATCTACAGACCATGTTAGTGTTACTTCAGAATTGTCCCTGCCAATCTTTCAACTTAAAGTGTTAACTGTAAACTTTATGCAGAACAGCCACAAATCTGTAGTAAATTTGCCCCAAAAATGCAGCACTTACTGTAAAACTTAAGGAACATGTATTTAAACATGAAGTATAAAGTTCACTACTCATTACAGATGAATGTGTCTTTGTCAATCCACAGGGTCTCACACCAAAGGTAGACTCTCTGGCATCAGAAGAGATTCATCGTCTACAGGTGCAGAACAACACCCTGCGTGCTGTGGTTACCCAGATGAGAAAGGACATGGAGGGTCTCAGCCATCTCCTACCCAGGCCCCAAGCTGAGACACAGGCCTCTTGTCCGCAGCCAGTTCAGCAACCAGGATCCTCAGTTGCCACCTCCAACACACGTTCAGTTAATATGGAGGTGGCCACTGGACTGGTGGCTCAAGCCAATGACATCTTCTCCAAAGTCAGCCCAGCAGGTGTGTTCAGCACACATTTCTCAAAACTTATGCATACAGCACTTTGCTGAAATGTTGTACAGGACGCTACATAGCCATAACTAGTTTGCCTTCATTTATCTTTTTCCCCTGGTTTTTGTTATCAATCCTCAGGTGGTTTGTGTCTGGATGAAGGTGCCAGTAACCCTGCTTTAATAAAGCAGCTCAGAGTGGCACATGTGGAGTCTGCTCCCGCAAACATCACAGAACAGGTACCAAAGGAAATCAACATAGTTGAAGTTAACTTGTCAGTTCCATCCAGATTACTTCCTGAATCAGTGCTATTGAATTACAGCTGCTGATCTCTTTAGTACCAAACTCATCACTGTTGTAACATGCAAATGTCTAAAGTAGCTCATCTCATCTTCCTTTCAGAGTGCACCAGTGCAACAACTCTATGACGAGAACCTGTATTTGCAGCTGCAGGCCTCAGGTCAGATGTCTGGCGGTGTGTTCAAAAATGTCCACCGTGCTAAAAGCGGCTCTTCTCTCCAACATAGCAGACTGAAGCAGGCAGTGTCCTGTATTGCCCGTTTGAGTAGAGAGAAACAGCAGCTAATAGAGATTGGTAACTGCCTTCGAGCCCAGCTCACCACTGTTGGACCACTGGGTACAGTTTAACACACACTCACCAACACACACACACACACACACACACACACACACACACACGGAGTGTTTGTTACAGGGACAGCTCATTTGGCATTTATGTAAGGAAGCTAGGTTTTAAGTAGCTTAGATATTTTAGAACCTGTTTGAGTAATAGAACTTCATTGTTGGTAAAACATAATTAGACATATTCCTCTTTCAATAAGCTTACAGCCACACCACTGTGACAACGCCCGATCCCGTCTGATCTCGGAAGCTAAGTGCGGTCAGGCCCAGTTAGTACTTGGGGGCTGCAGGGTGGCGCAGTTGGTAGCACTGTTGCCTCGCAGCAAGAAGGTTGCCGGTTCGGTGGGGGCACCGGAATCTTTCTGCGTGGAGTTTGCATGTTCTCCCCGTGCAGCGTGGGTTCTCTCCCCCACGCGACCCTAGTGAGGATTAAGCGGTGTATGGATAATGGATGGATGGATGGATCTTTCATTAAGGATTTGCCACCTTTTCAATGCAAAATATTAAAAATGGTACAGAAAAGATGGACACCTGGCATCTCTCCATAGACCTTAACAACCATAAACATTGTACAAAGTCAAGATTCAACTTGTTCATTCATTCCGGTTGGCTTGTCGAATTCCATTACATTCTAAGATCAAACCAAAGAAGTTAAATAGACACACTGTTATATTTTATTGAAAATGTAAGTGTGGATTGTAACCATTTCATGTCTTTCTGGTGTGCAAGCAGAGGTGTTAAGGTGTTCTTATGCTGACTATATGTGAAGAATTTGATGAGGTGTTGGCAGTCAGACAGCTGACATTCCAGCCACTGTGATGCTTCTGGTGTCCACACTGGGTTAGCAGTATTTGTCCTGTCCTCTTTGTGTCCACCTGCAGAAGTTTCCTCCCTCTATCCTCTTCCACACAAAAAAACTCTGCGATCATGCAGTAAAAAACTCTCCTGCCCTGCCAGTTTATAGCCTGCAATCTACAAGCATTTCAGTAATATTTAGCCTCTATTTGCTTCATCTGTTCAGTGTCTTTGGACATAATACTAAAGCTTTGCTGGTTAGTATCTGCAGCCATCTGTCATCTGTCATCATTTATCATAACTTTGTTATTAGGTTATTTGTATTCTCTCACAGAGTCATTCATCTCTCAGGTGTGAGTAAAAGGCCCTTTCTTAAACACTAAATGGCTCATTAGGGGCCTCATCACTTTCACCCTCAAAGAACATATAGAACGACGCAAATTGTAGGAATACAATATTTACAAAGTCCCATAAGCTGGGCGGTGTTTTGAGTATCTGCCTCATGCCGGGTGTCCTTTGAGTGAATTTTCACTGTAGCTCCTTCATCCCAAATGGCACAGACTAGTGGCCTCCATGGACCCTCAAGTAGTACAGTTTATCTGAATGAGAAGTTTTTCAAGGTACAGGCAACCGCACATACAGGGATTTGAGCACACATGGTTAATGTTGTAAAAGGGTCAACTTAATTCCAAACCATGATCTTTTTCTAAATTTAACCAAATACTTTTGGTGCCCAAACCTGACCAAGCTGCATCTGAAAATTTAAAATAATAAAACCAAACTTTTAAATTAAAATATTTAAATTTGTTGATTATAATGTATATGTAGCATATGTCTATATAGAGGTTCAAAGTGCCCTGTGTGCACTGCAACATTTTGAGGGTTCCTGTACTGTTTTTTAACTCAAGCATTCCCCATGAAGGCAAAAACCAAAGGGCCTAATGAGCCATTTTCTATTTCATAGTACTTGCTCCAGCATAGTTTGAGAAGGCAGCAAGTAACTCATGATGTACAGCATCCATCCATCCATTATCTATACACCGCTTAATCCTCACTAGGGTCGCAGGGGGCTGGAGCCTATCCCAGCTGACTCAGGGTGAAGTCAGGGCAACCAAGCACACTCACATTCACACCTACAGACAATTTAGAATCACCAATTACCCTCAACGTGTTTTGGGACTGTGGGAGGAAGCCAGAGAACCCGGAGAGAACCCATGCTGCACGGGAGAACATGTAAACTTCATGCCTGAAGATCCCGGGTGTCCTCACTGGGACGCAAACCAATGACCTTGTTGCTTCAAGGCAATGATGCTAACTGCTGCACCACCTTGCAGCACATGTACAGCATTCCATTGTTAAATATGTAGGGGTTATCTATCAAATGTGTAAAAATAATTACATAAGAACTGACTGTACCAGTACTACGAAGAATGCTTTCACTCATAATAATAACCATGAGTCTGCTTATAGGAATCTGGGTTTTTGTCTTACTTGAATGAGTTTAGATGCACTTGGAAAAGACATTAGGAAGTCAAGTATTTTGGCTGATGAAGAAGAAATGGATTTAGATTTTAGGAAATATCTGGATGTTTATTGAACTACCACTGGTGCTTATTAGTTTCTCCACAATCAGTTTACCTAAATCTACAGCATTGCAGTCATACTGTATTATATATACTCCAGAAATGCAAGTTCCACAACATTCAGCCACTGCTTTTACAACCACTTAAGCTGAACACAGAAGGATTCGGATCAGCAGGATGTTACTGTCTGGTAGATTACACCTGTGATTCTTCACTCCAAACTCTTCTATGAGTCTCCTCACTCCTTTGAATTTTAACAGCTTCATTGACTGTAAACCTCCAAAATTTTCTGGGATTCCATCCTGAAGATGAAGGAGCAAAGACTGGAGTGAGCATTATAAGCAGACCTGAAACAACCCACAGAACTCTATTTGTCTAACAGAACCAGTGGAGCCAGAGAGAGACACCTCCACAGAAAGACAAGGAGACCAACATGACCGGCTGTCTGTTCTGGAACAGCTACAGTATCAGCTCACCACACAGGTATCTGTGCCAACTCAGTTTTACAACTCTCTTTAAATCCATTGATTGTTGATAAACTTTTCAAAGGCTTATATTCTCTACATCACACATTAGTTTCTTTCTTCTTTTTGATTTTTTGAGTGTAGACTGGGAAAATGGCAATCATAACCAAAATTAAATCTACAACACAATAACATGTGTATCAAGTGAAAAAGTCTGAACACTTTCACTAAAGCGATTGTATATCAGGGGTTCATTAGGGGTTATGATCTGAAAGAGTTCTGTATTTCTTTGAGATACCACCAGAGAGCACAATACGTCCACTAATGTCTGTTGCTGTGTGCTGTCAGGAGTTGCAGTATGCTCTGAAGCAGAAGGCTGGCGCTGCTGCTCAGCAGCCCCTCCCAGGAACCAACAACCATGGTCCTCTCACAAAAGAGCCTGCCAACCCCTGCCAAGGGCACAAAACCACATACAGGTCTGAGGTAACAGCCCAGCTTCAAATACTGCATCAACTGATTGTCAAAATCAACTACCCAGTTCACTGCTCAGCCTGAATGTGTGTATGTTGTTGCAAAACTGTAGTTTCTTTTTTAAATACTCATATTTTTGTATATACATTTATGAAGTATCCAACAGTAAAAAAATAAAATAAAATGAAATGAAATGTATAGAATAGAATGTACAACAAAACAAATTCAGTTTAGTTATCTCTGTTTTAAGACTTTAAAAATGAGTCCCCTGCTCCTTTCTTCTTTAGAGCTCAATGAACAAAGAGAACTCTTCTCCGCTCAGCCAGCCACAGTCCCAGCCCCACTCAGGACTGTCCAGGTGTCGGCTGTCATCAGAGGAATCACTGCAGTCATTAAAGGAGCTGTGGGAGAAACTGGACCATGGACTCAGTCTGTCTATTTTCTCAGAAGGTAACTACATAAACTCAGCTCACTGCTCCTCCTGTACACCCGAAGGCCACCATGGACCTGCAAACAGCAAAACCTATTTTTTTATTAGCTGCGTACAACATGCTACACACCTACTGTCAGCCTACTGCATCACTGTCAGTATACAAAATTACCAGTTCATAGACCGACTGCCCCTAGATCTGTTCCACATAGTTCAATCAATGTATTACAAGTAAATGCTCATATAATAGGTAAAGTTCAAGTCTGCATATTGTCCATTGTCAATCCTTGCACATATCACATACAGTACTATGCCATACTGCATATTGCACATTTCTTGAATTTCCCTCTGGGATTAATAAAGTCAGTCTAAGTCTAACACTATTGCATTGCAGTCAAGCACCTCATGGACTTGATGTGGCAATGGTAGCAAGTTACAGTACATGTGATCAGAATCTGCAAGGTCTCAGTCTATAAGTCTGGTGTCAAGTCTTTTTTTCCTGCATACTCAGGGACTACAGCCTATTGGGCATTGCCCATCCTGAAATACACAAAGTCCCCACTGTGGTCCTGTAGGTATCGTCCCACTAGTTCAAGACAGTACATCCACAGAATGTCACTTCATCAAAATACACAACCTCTTTGCCAAGTATGAATATGAACCAGTCAAGGACACATAGACAGATAGCTAATTGCTCAATGTGTGTGCTGTAGTGTCTGCCAGCCTTTCAGGGAACAGTTTCTCAACCAGAGCAGTGGCCAGATCAGGCTGAGACACAGTGATCAGCATCATGCCATTTCACAATTTTGAACTAGAAAAACCTGCCATGAGGTTTGCATAGACTTTTGATGACTGATTGTAGCTGCAGTGAGTGCGTCAAATTATTCATTACAGATTTTAAAGCTGGCGTTTGTATATGTATGTCTTACTGTATGTCTTTTTGTCCATCTGTCCCATTCTGGTAAACATATCTCAGGTATACTTTTGGGTATTTTTTAAAATTTTACACTATTGTTCACTTGGACTCAAAGATGAACTGATTAGATTTTGATTGTCAAAGGTTGAGATCAGTGTGATCTAATAAAATGCATTTTTGGCTGTAACTCATGGTAATTATGACAAAATCTGACACAAATGTATAACAGGGAAAAATTATGTACTGTAATGTAATTTACTGTAATGATATTGTAACTCCAAAAGGTCAAACGTCAGCTTGCAAATACATTTTTATCACCATTATTCAACAACATAACTCAGCACAGAACATCAACACCGTTCAGCTTTATGGCTCCATTGTAGACATCAATATAACAAATGCAAATATTACATGTTCATATTATTCCTTTAAGAAATGTTTTCGCAATTTTCCTTGCAAATGGTTTGTGTCTCGATGTGAATTTAAAAGCAAAGATTACATTTACTATCTGCTTCATTCTGCCCTAAAGGTGAAAGTGAGCTAACCAGAAAGGGGATGGATGAGTCTGGTGGTTCTGGTGTCCAAAAGATGGTGCGTTCTAGTGATCTGATTCATACCCAGCCCCCAAGTGATGTCCAGCAGATGAGGAAACCCTCTAAAACACAATCAATTACCACCAATACCAGCAGACCCGGAGCCCCTGGTAGGTTCAGCAAGATAAGAAACTACAATGTTAAAGACTGACACACACGAAAATATGTCTTTAATACATGGGCCCTATACTCGTCTGTGACAGCAGTTTTATAAATTCTTCTTAGACTCTGCAGGAGCTTTTACAAGTCTGAGAAAATATGTCAGATATGTTATTGATGGCTATGATTTAATCCTGTCCAAAAATTCATGACAGAAAGTCTGTGTTACAAACTAGTAACAATACATTTCAAGGGGAAGGTTGTATGAAAAGATGTAACCAAGTTACATTTTTGTAAGAGTGGGATTCCATTTTTTTTCCTATTCTTGTTATTGAGCTAAAAGTCCAGATATCTCAGTCTCTGCTGCTTTGATTTACCTGTACTGATTTTCCCAACTTTAAGGAAGTTAGATACAGGACAAAGACAATATGTGAACATTTTTTTTATCATTATTTATATCTTTTATCTAATACACTGGGATGGCCTCAGCTGCTTCAGCAATCAAAACATTTCCATGTATCCATAATTCAGTTATTTAATAAAGCATGCATTTTTGTTGAATTTTGTTCGTATTTACGTTCTGTTATTTTTTTTGTTGTATTAATGTATTTCGCTATTTCTGACTTGCCATTCAGCTAGTCTGTGAAATAGCTGGCCCTCTAAGTAAAAGATGGGACTGCGGTAGTATTAGGTACTTTGGCGTGGACTGTACCTCGTGCCCCCTCAGAAGGAGGCTTTGTGGTGATAGGTCTGCTTTGTCTGTCAAATAGCTAACTTTCTTTTTTTTTTTTTTTTTTGTGGCTTCTTTCATTTTGTGCAACCTGAGAGAATCCTACCTGGTTTTGGAAAAATATTCTTCAGGAAATGTTCAAGGCTCATTTTAGGAATGCTCCTAGAAGGTTAAGAAACCTAACCTTCAGAGAACTTTTAGGGAGCAGTCCATGAAGGTTGCTCTCTGCTGGGTTACAGACATTGGCAGAAGTAGTGTCTAGAAATGTGGTTTTGTTGTAAAAGGCCACATCAAATGTAATCAGTGATTACAAATTCTAATGCAGTTTCTGAGTCATGACTCCAGATTATGCAAACCAAATTTTGAAAATGTCAAAAACTTAACCTTGATTGGAGCTACTGTGCTTACATGATCAATGAGTATCGTTTTATGTACTTGAGTAGAGGGTGCATAGTTGATGTTTCCAGTTTTTATGGGTTTTTGCTATACAGACAGTTTTAGGTGAAAGAAAGAAGAAGAATGAGAACAATTTCAATAGGATTTCAGCAGCTTGTCTGCTTGAACCCCTAAAAATAATCATCAGAGATCATCATTAAGTCAAGGTTCCACTAACACAAATGACAAAACCCAATATAAAAAATGAATAAATAAATAATTTAAAAGAATGTATGTGTTTGTGTGTAAAATGCCTTAACTGTTAAAGTTATCTGTCTTAAAAATCAGAAGACATTGTGCACATAGGATGTCAGCAGCCACAGTGCACAATCTCAAGTTCACAAACCACAGGTGAGCTATGAAATAAATTAATTTTAATCGACATGGGCAATAAAATCTAATTATATTCAGTGTGTGCTATCCAATAAATTTCTATTAAAAATAAAATAGAGTAAATAAATTAAATTACCCAAAGTAAGCTATAATAAATTACTTTTGTACTTGGTGTGCAATAATGTCTTCTTCAGGGCAGGTCCACAGATATCTGAGGGCTGCCTAATTTCAGCCAGGAGAACTCATCTATCTGATCTCTGTGTGCTTTTACAGCCTGTTATCACAGTGCTGCTACTGTAGGTCAAACTGATAAGTTTCATTTTGACCTACAGTAGCAGCATTGCACTCTTTTCTCAGACTGTGCTCTTAGAGCATCATGCCATTTTAAATTGTGAACTCCTGTAACCCCGTGAAGTCACACGTGCAATCTGAGCAACGTCACCGCTGAGCCCCGCCTTTTAATCACCCTATCTCCCGGCAGCACCCACCTCTCTGCTGTGATTGGATGAAACCGCTCAATCCCCCCTTCTGTGATTGGCCAATTTACATGTCATTTAGAATACTTCATTGTTTGCACACACATGTGCCTCCGCCGGTCTGTACCTTCACGTTCAATATAAAGTTATGCAATGTTAGACTTCATTTGAACATGTTAAAAATGCACAGGCTGCTCTTTAGGTACAGGAAGAAAAAGACCGAGGAGTGAGTTTCATAAGTCTGTATATTAGACATAAAATGTTTAAAATATCTCTGGTGGTGGATGTGTATAAAGCATACCACCACTTAGTGTTTTACATTGCCTATTGCATTGGATCCTTGAGAAATAGTTTAATTCCTCAAAGTACGAAAGTGTTCTCATCAGGTCATGACACAATCCACATTATACAATAAAGAGTGCAAAAATAAAATACTGATTCATTCTGTCAGTTTACACCAAAGGCACCTGGAATTGTTCATAGCCATGCAGTCAGTCCCATAGACTATTTAGAGTCCAGGGTCTGTCCAAGGCCAGACTAAAATATCTGCACAGCAACTGGATGGATGGGACTAGATTATGTACAGACATCCATTCATTCACATTATTTTTTTCTTCACAGTATTATTCGTTTTCTCGATTGATTGAATCATTATTTGGTCAATAAACTGTCAGAAAATGATGAAAAATGTCGAATAGTATTTTTTGAAGCCCATAATGACCCTGTCTTGTCCACAACCCAAAGATATTAAGTAAAAAAAAAAAAGCAGCACAGTTACAGAATGATGACTTTTTCTTTGAAAAATGATTAATCGATTATGAAAATGGTTTGTGATTGATTTAATACTTGACAACCAATGCATATTCATTAGAGCTGCTCTTTTAACCCCTAGAACAAATAAGATAATCTTTGCAATTAAGAAGCAAGCAGAAAGTGGGTTTCTTATTATTTTCACGATACATCTTCACTTGGGATGTAATTTAACTGTGTGCAGGAGAGAATCACTTTGAACTCCAGTAACCTCGTCTCGCAACTTTCTGTTTTTTCTTCGTGTGAATACGGGGGCGTCCAACGAATGACTCCATCACTGGCTGGATCCGGCAGTCCTGCCTCTTTTCTCATTGGACTGTGCGGCCAAGCGGCTGTCAGCCCATGTGGCGTGGCTAGGCAGAATGTGACACATTTAAATTCATCAGACGAATAAAGATTCATAGAAGCACGGAGGCTAACGCTAACCTCCCTACCGCAGCCAGAGCAGAGGAGCCCTCTGGAGTATCGTAGGGCATCGAACACCAGATAATCCACAGAATACATGCTAAACAGCCGCTAGCGACGCACCCAGCACTTCAAATTCGTGACTTTTAAGGGACAGAACGTTCTGAGTGAAACGGGTAAGTTCTCTAAGGTTTATTCAGCTTCCGTTTTGCCTCCTTTCAATCAAATGTATGTGCACAATTATCTGCTACGTCAAAAGAAACGCGTTGAACTGTCTCTAATATGACGGTTTGTGATGCTTCTGTTACACACAAAGTGCTCCGTTAGTTAAGAGCACCACTTGACATCTTTATTTCTTTGCCTTTGCTCACTGTGTAGTTAACATTTCGCTTACATACATGGCGTACTGTAACACAGCTGTTACTGTCACGATAACTTTTACAAGTGCTTCAGCTTCATGGAGCTAAGAGACGTTTGAAGCACCAATTGAAAGATGATCATTCATTCTCTAAGTCATGTATTTGTAGGATTGAAACCGCTAACAACGACGTAGTCACTTTAAATGCAGAAGTAATGCTAAAGCTGTGCGTAGGTCCGGATTACAGTCATACTTTGATTATTGTAAACTGTAGCAGCTGTGAATGCCAGTACCTGCTCCCTGAAACTACAATAAAATCCAGTCTAAGTGATAAACAATGGCTGTGAAAGGGTGCAGCCATGATTCCACTGCAGCCTCTGCACCAGCACATGAATAGAAGTTGTCTTGCCTGTCCTTCAGGCCCGATTTCAGCAGCCACTTTACCACCTCCCTGTTGGATATTTGCCTTCAGTTTACTTGAATATACCTGCTGCATCCCTCACATCTGCCCTGTGATGGACTAGGCGACATGTCCAGGGTGTGTCCTGCCTTCTGGAGCTGGGACAGACTCCAGCCCCCCACTGCCACACCACAGAGGATAAAGCTGTGCATAGGAGATGGATGGAAGCTTAGTTCACTCAAGCCTGTGTTCTAAAAGCTAGCTAACTCAACTGTATTCATAGTCCAGCTAACGTCAAGGGATGGTTGTTCTTCTAAAGCCTTTTCAGACAAGGGATATTTAACATTGCCGCTTCATCAGTCTAGAGAACTGATGACATTCTGTCATTCAGACATATGTCACTCTAATGCTTCATTCAAACAAACCACCAGCACAGTGACTGAGAGAGCACCATGTGTCAGTAAAGCAATGTCACAACAGCTGTGATGGAGCTCGGGACTGAACGTATGGACGGCCGCTATGTGACAAATGATTGAACTGCAGCTGAGTCACTGACTGTGTGTGATACTCACCTGTGTGTGGTGAAGGAAAGTACACAGTGTTACTTGCCGATATGTCCTGAGGAAAGACAAACAGCTGACAGCAACAAACTGAATTTAACATCATGTTTACATTCTGTGAAAACTTGAATTACATGTATTATTTGTGAATCTCATTAGTCTGACTTGTTACAGACTCTGTCCTCGTTGCATTGTCATATTTTATTGACATTTTAGCAATACAAATGAAACTGCTACTTTGGGACTCTGGCAACAATTGTGTCTTTTGTACACTGTGATGTTTTTGCATCAGTGTTGGAAATGTGTTGCTAAAATGTGGAAATAGTCGTCACAGAACTTTGCTTGTGCAATGACATGCAGTTTAGACTTGTGCCGTGTTGCAAGTGATGGAAATGGTACTTGGTCCGACCCAAAGAAGACTGTTCTCACAACTTTCATGGAAAAGTAAGCAGGGTGCTCATTTAGACATGAAGCTGAAACATCCAGATGCTGTCAGATTAGCAAAAGGAAGCACATGTCAGAAAGTGCTTTGGTCTGTCTGCCCAGCGCTTTGGGCCAGACAGAAATATCCAACAGGCTGGAACTGTGTTGGTTATTGTGAACATTGCAGGGATCTGTTACGATTGGAGTGTTGATAATGTGCCTTTCCTCTGGCATTCCGTAAGTGAGATAGAGTAGTCATTTTTGCCCAGCGTGAAGCTCTGTAGGTCACAGGCAACTTGCACCATAGCTGTATAAAGTGTGCCTGGTTGAGTTGGGAATGAGTGACGTATTTAGTCTTCATACCCATATCACAGACTCGTCATTTCCTCCTGCTGAATGTGAGTAAACCAAATGCAGGCCATTGTATTGAAATTCTCTCTGGAATTCTGTGTTTTGCTGCGACAGACAGTGTCTGGCTTTTACATGGCTCAATTAAACAGAAACTTAAGGATGACATTTAGTGCAGTCACTGAAAATACAAACTCAGTGGAAATTGTTTCTCTCCCACTATCAAAACATCACAGTTAACTAAGAATTAATACAAAACTGCCCATGATGCATAGATGAAAGG